ATATTTTTGTGTTAAAACTAAATGTAAAGAGTTTTACATCATCATTGATGAAGTTTTAGAATAAAATCAAAATTTCTCTTCAAAGAAACCAGGTTGATAGATCTTTTCATGTTTAATCTAATATAGAAAAAGCATATGGTTGTCCATACGGGGAAATGAGTGAAACAATTAAATTCATGATGTCACTTATGGAGCAGGGTAGAAAAACAGTACAGCCCTGCCATCTCAGTGTAACGCCATCAACTTGCTGCAAAGCTTGAGCTACCCATTGCCTTTTCAGGTTTATAGGTTACATCAAAGACCAGTGATTCATATTTTCACCCTACACTTAGCCTACAGTAAATTTCCCAGGTAATCAGAATTAGCAAATAAAATATCTCTCAGCACTGTTTCCAAGAACAGATGCGTTCACTCCAATGTCCTAACTAATATCCATCCCTCAACTAACATCTAATAATAAAATTACATGGACATTATGCCATTGTTTGAGAACTTTGCTGTACTCAAAATGGCTGCTGCCTGAAGCCCAACACAAAGGCGACTGCATTTCAAGCCACACTTTGGTTCTGAGGCATTTTTGGACTTCTGGTAAAAGAAGCTTTAATCTTTGTGTAATCACTAGCATTGCCACTGGACTTCTAACTGAAGTTTGCATTATTTAAAAAAGGTAAAGGTACTATTCCTGTTATGCCTTGTAACATAAGAAAATGAATGTGGATATCATGGTATTGAAGAATCCAACAGACGTTACAGTTAACAATTACATACCAAATATTATGTGCCTCAGGCACAGACGTCTGGGCTAGCATTAAACTAGTAGGTTACACAGAGCAGCATGCCTCCCAGTAGTATATCATGCCTCAAATGATCCGAGGCAAGACGGAGTTAGAAACACTTAAAACCTCAGGTCACTGTGACATCATCACAATGATGATGTAATGAGTGTTTCTCTTAAAAAGGTACAGCAACATACTTACTGAGATACAAACAACAACAACTATGGAACAGTTCCACTTCTGAAACAATCCCATATCAAAGCAAGACATGGCAGTTCAGCTGACTAAGAGGAAAGTGCATTTAGGCAACTTATCCCATTATCAAAAACCTGCTTAAAAAAAGTTAAATGAAAATAAATACAGTATACCCCTTCAATAATACGAAAAAGACTGTTTTGTTCCACATCTTTATTTCCAACACACAATGAACCACTCTGGAGCGATGAAAATAAACCACAAAATGATCATTTATTTGTGATACTCATCCACCCTCCCCTCCCCAAAAGGTTACATATGTAATGTCTTTAAGAAACACTGTACTCTCCCATCGAGGAGATTGCTAGACAGCTAGCACACTGAGTTTTACAAATGGTTGTATCTTATTCAAACAATAAAATGGAAAATCTGGACTCTGCTTTCATTACATTTCATTTAGAACAGAGTTCCAGAAACGTTGGGGGGGTCGGGGGCAGGGGGAATAGGTACACATCACCACAAATACAGTTGGCATAATACCCCCAATCCCACAGTGTTCCCTTCCCCAACCACACTCATTCCCTGTTTAATCAGTGCTCCTAGTTTCATCAATGTGGGACCGAGCCAACATAGATTAGAAATCGCAGTCCACATTATTTCAAATTCTCTCTTTAAAAGCTTCGAATGATCAGAGTTTTGATAGAAAGGAATGGAGGTCCAAGGCAGAAGTTTGATAAACTTATAATGGTTTTGTTCTTCACTGACATGATTACATCAAGTCCACAATCCAAGCAGTTCTGGAGATGCACTCATCTTAGGTCAGGGTCTCTCCTTTGGTAACCTGCAGAATCAATCCGAGAGAGAGAGTGTACCATTAGTAGCAATTTCACATTGCAAACATATTCCTACAAAGTTCAGAGTCAAGTGTCAATCACTTTTCCAGGCTACTGAAGTGACCCTGATGTTAAACACTTACTGGCAGTGATCTTCAAAATTAAATGTCTTCACCTCAGAGCTTGGGGTTTTGGCCAAGAGAATCAAAACCTCTCTGTGGGAGATTGGGGTCTGTTGTGAAAAGGGTTTTGATTGGTTTCTGGTGGGACTGCATAAAGCTGGCCCTGGCAGAAACCACAGGGCAACCACTGGGCAACAGAGAATTTCAGAGAGGTGTGTGTGTCTAGGTCTGTGTCTGTGTCCTTGTGGGGAGGAGAACTTTTGACAGCAGAATCATTGCACATTTTTAAAAAATTAATTCATTTGAGTGTCGCTGGCCAGGCCACTATTTATCGCCTATCCCTAATAATCCAAAGGGCAGTTAAAATTCAACTCCATCACTCTGAGTCTGGAGTCACATGTACATCAGGACCAGATAAGGGTGTCCTTCCCTAAAAGGGACATTAACGAACTAGATGAGATAGTAAGAACTGCCGATGCTGAAGAAACCC